CGCGGTCGCCACGCCCGCACTGCGCCGCGGGGCGCCACCGTCGCACGGCGCGGCGGCGGCGTAGCGGCAGGGGCGTGATGACGGCGTTGGATCCCCGGCTCTCGCATGCAGCCCGCGCCAAGCAGCAGCAACAGATACGTGATCTCTCTCCCTGTCATCGTCACGGTGGTGGCTGGTGGGGGTGATGGCGGCTCACTCACAGTAAACACACACACGTCGTCTTACTCCTTATGAGATCACGTCAACCTGCGAGCAGGAGGAGGAGGAGGGGAGGAGGAGGAGGAGGAGGAGGAGAGGAGAGAGGAGGAGGAGAAGGATGAAGAGAAGGAGAAGAATGACGAGGAGGAGATAAGAGAGAAGGGAGGAGTACTAAGGAGACGCAGGAAGGTGGTAAGCTGTAGTTAGTGACACTGTCACCCTCTCTCACTCGGCGTCAGCCGCGGATGTAGCAAGGCTCCCTCGCTGCAGCTGCGATGACAACACAAACCCACTCCAGCTATCCTTGCTGTCGCAAATGAAGCTCTATGAAACTCGCGTGCAGAACAACAGCTTGGCACGCGTATCCGTCTGTCCGTCCGCCGCCGCCACTCAGCATGTATGTGATAACGTTGACACCAATGCAAGGCATTGAATGTGGTGATGGTTATTGACGCGCGCGCTGCACAAACACACGATGCGCTCGCACAAACTAAGCTGTCATATTTCTGTGGGGCGACGCAGGCAATTTCATCACGATATAATACGGCTTTCACGGCGGAAATAGTTGTTTTGTTTTGATGCTGTAGTCGCTGGAACACATAATGATGATATGTGTGCACACGTGCACGACGCTCGCCCGCACACATACCCTCACTTTCTCTTATTGTGTCGATGTATTTGTCGTGGCATGAGTCTGTATTGACAATGGCGCAGCACTGTACACACAACGAGCCATGACCAAACAAGTTTCTGTTCACTCGCTAGCGACATAAAAAGAATACAAAACGGCAGTCCTGCACAATCGATCACACACGACGCTCGCGGTACTGGTGGCGACCCTGCGGCAGAGATGGCAACACTTTTCTGAGCAAACTGTAGTGAGGATATCTGAAATCTGTAGTCGCAGGGTCACGCAGTGACCCAAGTATCGCTAGGGGGTTCGGGCATGCCCCCCGGAAATTTTTTTGATTCGCAGATGCAATTTCCTGCATTCTGGACGCCAAAATGACAATAAGTTCACACTGATTATCTTGCTGCTAATAATCATGTAGTTATTTCATCATGTTAATATCAATGTAACACTGAACAAAACACTTGAAATATCATCAAAATTATATTTTTTCGATCGTATAAAAAAATCGTAGTTGTATGCAAACTGGTCGTAGTGGTCAAAATGGCAAACGAAACTTCGCATACAAGTGCCGGCGAGCGACAGCGCTCATCTAAACGTCTAACTGGCGTGACTCTGTGGTAATTAAGTATTTAATATGTGATGGAGCGAGCTACTATGTGAGGGTAGCACCGCATGCACAGCAGCAGTCGTGTGTCATGAAATCACGCCCCCCCCCCCCCTGTATATTACAGGGACATCGTTAATAATGTAAGTTGAGTGAGCGAGGAAATGTTTTCTCGTCAAACAGTGGCCAGCAGCAGCAGCAGCTGTACGCCCCGATCAAACCACGTTGTAAACGATAACCGTGGCCGTCAATGGAAACCGTGCGAGTGCGAGAGCGATAGGGACACATAGAGCAGCAGCAGGAGTGCGTGGATATATATATATATATATATATATATTATGCACGTGCTTGCGTGGTCCACTCAGGCGACACGATAGATAAGGCTAAATATTCAGCATCCGACTCCCTCCCCTCATCACAGCACAACTGCCTCCCACCCCAGCCTACCCTAGCGCGTAACCCCTACCCACCCCACACCCCAACATCAACCCACTCCCCACCTCAGTCACTACTGCCACGGCATTTGCGTGTACATTATCATGTAAGATATCTGTAGTGACATCATAGGACCAATCATGTCTATTAAAAAAACTGAGTGTGGTGATATGTACATGTTTCTTATTTCACGTTTTGTCTTGAATGGTTCGATGGATGGATGGATAGGTGGCTGGTTGGGTAGAAAGATGGATGGGTGGTTCCAATGGTTGAATCATGGATGAATAGAAGGATGGATGAGTGGTTCTATGGTTGAATGGATGAATAGAAGGATGGATGAGTGGTTCTATGGTTGAATGGATGAATAGAAG